GGGTGCCTGCCTTCTCCACGCCCTGGCAGGCTCCTGGGAGCTGACAGACTGATCGTGGGGAGCAGTGGAGGGCTGGCTGTCAGTGCCTGCTGGCTCATGTTTTGGGGCCACTGGGTCAGGGGCAGTGACTGCTGCATCTGGGCTGGCAGGCTCGGAGATGGCATAGGCACTGTGGCCAGAGACTACCCCTTTAATGGCTCCGGGGAGCAGGGGAGGGAGTGGAGTGTTCTTGGTTGAGGCTGGAGTGGCCACCAGGGCTCCCTGGAAAGGCTGAAGGCCCCCTATTTCGAAATAGGTGTCTACACAGCATTTATTTCGAAATAGCTATTTCAAATTTGGCATTATTCCTCATAGAATGAGGTTTACCAAATTCGAAATAAGCCCTCCGCTATTTCAAATGTATTTTGAAATAGCGGTTTGGCAGAGGCAGGAAGAGGTGGTGAGACGAGGGATGAGCACTGGGGGAAGGAGTGGAATGTTGTTGGGGTCTAGAATAGAGTGGAGAAGGGAAGAGGCAGGGTGGGGGAAAGGATGCAGTGAAGACAGGACCTAAGATGAGGGGGAGCAGTGCCTATGCCTCCATTACTGCACATTTGACTCAGCAGAAGAGCTTGGGCTGAAGGCGGAGCGAGGGGCAGAACTGGTGCTAGGAAAGGAGCTGGGATGAGAGGCAGAGCTGGCCTGGGAGCAGAGAGGAAATGAGAACAGAGCTGAACTAGGAATGTACAGGGGATGGAATGGGGCTAGTGATGGAAGAGAGGGTAGTATGAAGCTGCAGCTCAGGGCAGAATAAGGTGCTGAGACTGAATTTAGCTGGGCTGGATTTGGAATGAAGCTGCAGCAGAAGCCAGAGCTAGGTGGAGGCAGAGAGGAGTGGGATAGTGCTGCTTTTCTGTATCAATCAGAATATTTGCTTTAACAGATCATTTTGTGAACATACCTCCAAAATCTATTTAATACTGTTTTATCTTAGATTAATATACTGATGTCTTCTCTTCTTTGTGTAGCACAGATAGCAATATATTTTGTATCAGAAAATTCTGATTTTGGGCACCAGTAGAATGAATACAATAAACATTTGGGCTTGATAATATTTTTCATAATCCAGACAATTAAGTAGTCTTAAAAAGTAATGTGCTAGAAACACCTATGGCATTGCCCATAGGGAAATGGAGCAGTTATTACATGCTCTTGCAGAACCCCGAAGAGTGCAAGAAAGAAAACACTGGCTAAGAGATTGGGATTAACATCACTGTAAGGAATTTTTAGCTTTAATCTGAGCAACCACCAGAGAAGTGCAAAAGAATGTTCTGCTTAGTATTTCTTCTAGTGGATAAATATTGCTAAAAGTGCAGAACAGTTTATCTTTAGTGCATTGAATATGTGTCCAAGCCTTGTGCAGTACAGTAAAACCCTGTTTATCCAATCTAACTGGGGGACAGGTACCAAATCAGATAATCCAGACGATGGGAAAGTGAGAAGCCACAGCACTGTCTAATGGCCACAGAAGATATCAGTCACATCTGGATGTGTATCCGCTGGCTGTTCAAATAATATGGAGGGTCAGATAAACAGCGTTCAACTGTATTTCTGCCTACCACTTTGTGATTTATATGTTGACTGCTCTCTATTGAGCTGTGCTAACAAAACATTTATGCACCCTCTTTTTTATTGCACTCCATATTATAACATAAGACTATTTTGGATCTAAAGTAGAGTCTTATAGAAAGGCTTTGCTCCCCTGTTGGTAATGTGTCCTTTAAAATAAATTACCATTTTGATGTAGGGAACGTGCTGTACAAGAACTTCGTCGCCAGAGTCTTACTACTTCATACCAATTAAGCTCTACTTTAAGGACATCATCACCTGAACGTACTCTCCATCGATCTCCTGATTGGACTCTGGACAGGTCTTTAGACGGGTAAGTCATTCAAGAAACAAATAATACCCAGCATAATCTTCAGGAATTAGCCAAGGGGAAGGTATAGTTCTTTCTTAGGTGTTGTCTACATATAAACGTTCCACTGATTTAAGTTACTGAATTAATTTAAATTGATATGAAACAATTGAAGTTTGTCCACTCAAGAATTTCTACTGGTTTAATAAAATTATTTGTTTTAGCTAGACAAAGGGTTGTGTATTACAAAGCCTTCAATTTTCAAAGGAAAATACTTGGAGTTGTTTTTCTTTGTTCCTTTTGTTTGGGTTTTGGGACTTGAATGGTTAAAGTAGCAATAACTCCTTCAGTTCTTTGACAGCTTATACAAACTGGACAGACTGCAGCCACAGTCATTAAGAGTCTGAATTGAAAGAAGAAAACAATGTAAAATAAGTATCTTGATCAAATGAATATTAGTATATGTAGAAAGCTTAAGGATAGTAAAATCAGCAAAATAGAAAAATTGCTTATGGTCATTCAAACAGGTACAATTAGGACTTAATACAACTATTTTCCACCTGTAAATTATACCATGAAATAGTCCTTCTACAGAAGTGATGGTATTTCGTTTATCATTTGAATCATTAATAACTAGACAAATCATTGGACAAAATAGACACAATTTGCCATTGGAAGGAGAGGCCTTTTTTCATAGCTCAAATCTGTTTCTATAGTATCTAAAATATATTGGGAGACCACACCAATGCTTACATTACCAGCACTGCTCTTTCACTACTCCTACCTTCCTGCTTCTCAAATAAAGATCGAGTAACTAACTAATTTGATTGGTGACTGTCAACCAATTAACATATTTTTGCTTCAGTATGATTGCGATATCAGATGTATATCGGACAATGACTGACTTCTCCCTGTTATTTTTTCATTTTCTTCTCTTCTTTCCTTCTATCTTGTTTCATAATATTCAGTGCAGTTTTCTCATGAGTTTCTGCTGCCCATAAAATGGTACTTTGGGTGCTCATTATCTCTGAAAATTAAGCTATTACTGTTTAATCCTGCAAATCCTCTGCACATGGATTCCCTGTTGGAGTGAATGGGAGTTACACACAAAGCAGGCTTGAGAAATTAAGCCAGTAAAGTTCACACACACACACAAACCACTGAATTGATTTGTATATTAAGTGACTATACACACAATTAAACTTCATACTTTTTCTTCTCTTGTAGGAATTCTACATTCAGGGATTTCTAGCATTATTTAGGATGATCTGGAAAGAATCAGCATGTCCTCTAAAAAGCTGCAGGTTTAAAATTGAACTCAGAGCTTTCTGACAATTGTTTTGCCCAGCTGACTGCTAGATTTTGTTAAATATACTTACTGAATGTAAGAAAACGTACTTTGAAGTTATTTTATTTTGGTCAATTTAAATAAATCAGCCTAGATGTTTTGTATTTTTTTTATACAGCTAACCTTTATTATTTAGTGCCATATCACAATGATCCTTTTCGGAAGAAAAAAGGAGACATGCACACTGCTGCATCTGTATGCTAATAAAGCACAAAAGAAATATTTTATATTTATATTTCACTGTTAAAAACGTATACTGCAGCAGGGGAAATGAAGAAGACTATAACAATACAAAACTTTTAAAAAAATCTGCATGTATTTCTAATTCCAAATATATTTTGTAAATTGGGTTGTATTTTTGCTAATTTGTGTTTATACTTGAAAGCATGTATGAAGCCTTGTCTTCAAGATGAGGCATATTCTTCTCTTAATTCCTTAGTTTTGCATTTTGATATATCTAGTTTTGCATTTTGATATATCTCGGTAATATCAGGTTTTATTCATTTTTATTTCAAAGACAGTAAACCTATTACTCATTTAAGAAAATTAGTATGTCTGTTACAAATATATGCATACTATGGGAGGACTATTTAATGAGTGAGCATATTATTATAACTTTGCTAAGCTCTTAAAATGCATTATTTTAGATATGTATTTATTTTTATACATAATTTGCTTACAATTTCAAAGAAAACTAATACCAGTTTTAGGAGGTAGGTGACATTTGATTCTTGTGTTCTTCAGGTGCAAGGTAAAGGCTTGACAGGTTTTATTAAACTCATCCAAGTAATTTTATAACTTTGATATTATATATGGATTTTAATAAGAATTTTAAAGTCTGGGTAAAACTTTCTTCATAGCCTGTAAGTGTTTACCATTTTCATATATGGAAACCATGAAAATAATTTATTTTAAGGAGATTTCTTCACCCTTGTGGCCATAGTAACATAGGGAAACATTTTGAAAATGTTTTATGTGGTCTTTTTTTTTTCTTTGGGGGCAAGAAGGGGCAGTCATTCTAATGGTTTACTCTCATGTGTTTACTATAAATGCATGCATCCTTCCTCTGATATGTACATATATATCATTTGTGGGGGCTTTCAAATTCAGCTTTTAAATGCCACTCACTCCTCTGAAACCTACTGGTATGCACAGCACATATCAAAGCTTTTTATAGTGAAAGTGTTCTTAAAATTTTTTAAACTATTTTGAGGAATAATGTGCAAAAACAATTGTTTGTAACATATATATATATATATATATAATAACAAAAATGCTCAAGTTTAGCCTTGCCGTCTTGCAACAATGCTCTAATCTTCTTTTTGGCAGACCTGGTTTAATGTTTGAGGCTTGAATCTGCTATCTTTATTTCAGTGACTAGTACTAAGCCCCACTAACATTAATGGCACTATTGGTATGAATAAGGGCTTTTGTTCATTGGGCTGGTGATAGGCTAGGTATTCTTCAATCAACTCCAGAATAAGAGAGAGAAGGAATAATCTGTGCCATTCAGCAGTGAGGCTGCAGTCTGATAGTTGAGGGAGCCTGAAGGTAACTTGATTATCCTTGTCCATAAAATTTATGTCTGTAACTTAAGGACATGAAGAGAGAGAGGTTAAGTAAGAAAAAAATGAGGTATCCTCAGGACTGTACGTGGTATACAAGGTCCACCCCAGGAAACATAATTTTTCAATTATTCGTGTTAATGAAAACAGTGCTATGTGGGTACATAGAAAAATCAGTTAATTGTTGATGATGTACTATCCAACAAATGTACAAGCTAAATATTTTAAGAAACTTGTTGGTATTAACTTTTGAAAATAAGAACTGATTAGAGCCAGATTAAGGGAATATTGCTTCAAAATAACAGTATTAGATATGATAATTCCATAATAATGTTCATGGCTGGCTTTTGTTTAGAAAACGTTAAGTGAACCAGAATTTTACTCTCCTATACATGGAGCTCTCCTATATATGCAGTATAGGCTGTACATAGAAACTAAGATCTTGGAGGTGAAATGGACTGGGGAAGAGAAACATAAACAGAAGATTGCTTTTTGTCATTGATTTGGGAATGGTTTCAGTTTGGTTTCAAGGAGTATTTAGTTCTATATTTATGCATGATAAAAAACGAATAAAGTATTAAGTGAAAAATTTGACAGGATCTACGGGCTGGTACAGACACAATCAGCCCATTTAACTGAAACTGAGATCAGAGAATGAAAGGATGGGAAAGGCAAAAAATATATCTGAGAAATAAACTGAATTTGCTTTAGTTTGTGAATCACCAGTGTAACTTAAACAAGAAACTAAAACCTTGCTGACATTCTTGTTCAGCTATAGGCTGATGAGGAGCTTTGGACAGTATTAGTTCACTGAACATTATATGCTATAACAGTATATTCTAAAAGTCTTCAGACTGTTACTTTATTCAAGTATATTAAACTTTCTGCTTCATTTCCTAAATGAAAACTGTGTAATGAACTGTACTATTTATAGTTTTCTACTACTTCTGACAGCAGCCTTTTAATGGGTGAAAAGAGCAATTATTAAAAAGATTACAACAGGAAAGTATGGTGAATGTGTCCAGATTGAATTGTTTATATAACATTTTGCAGTGGTTTATCTTTCCTCATACTGTGGGATCTTGGTGGTCGGGCAGTTTTCTTGTCATCTTATTATAGGATTATTGTTTGGAAATATAAAAATAATCCATTTATGTATCAGTTGTTGTTGGTATATTGTATTTGACATTTAGGCACACTAACTACAGGTACTGTAATGTTTTTATGCTTTCATATTTCATGTAATCACTTTATTATTTGCAAATAATCTGAACAGTAATTTTTACATTTCTGACTTTGAAAACTTAATTTTATTTTCTAGAATGAATAAAGTCATACTAAATCTGTTAAATTTTATTTAACTTATTCTCAACTATTTATGCAATGCTATAAAATTTGAGTTTGTGTAATAAAACTTGCTGAAGTATTTCAAATAGAATTAAAATATTATGTGATTAGCAGCCATTCTTGGTTCATTTGTGATGAATTCATCCAGTGATTTGTATTTTCCTGGATTTTGCTTATTCAAGGCTGTGAACACAGTTTCAGGGAAAGTGAACAGAAAAGGTTTTTTTATCAAAACATCACTTACTATTAACTAGAATCACAGTTAACAGTAGAGTGTGTCAGTAATCTCATGTCATGTGCTTCATCCAATTTTCTTTTTCAGAGGAAAGTGGCTTATACAAAACACTACTCCCATTACCTTTTATAGTTCCAGCAACCCAGCAGGAGAAATCCATAACACTTGCTAGCCAACAACCATTTCAGCATCTCTTTGAACTATTCCTGCAAGCAGCCTTTTATTAAACTCGGGAAACTACAGACAAGTCAGCTTAACTTCCATACTTGGAAATATAATGAAGCAAATAATTAAGCAATCAATTTGCAAACAACTAGAAGATAATAAGGTGGAAAGTAACAATCAGCATGGATTTGTCAAGAACAAATCATGTCTAATCAACCCGATATCTTATTTAAGGTAACAAGACTGGTGGATAAGGGGGAAGTAGAATTTGTGATTTATCTTGACTTCACTAAATCTTTTGATTCTATATCATGACCTTCTCAAAAACAAACTAGGGAAATGCAACCTAAATGGAGCTACTGTAAGATGGGTGCAAAACTGGTTTGAAAATTGTTCCCAGAGAGTAATTATCAATGGTTCAAACATGCAGGAAGGGCATCATGAGTGGACTCCACAGGGATCAGTTCTGAGTTGGGTTCTGTTCAATATCTTCATCAATTATTTAGATAATAGCATGAAGTGTACACTTATAAATTTTGCAGGTAATACCAAGCTGGAAAGGGTTGCAAGTGCTTTGTAGGATAGGATTAAAATTCAAAATGATATGGAGAAATGGATTTAAGTAAATAAGATGAAATTCAATATGGCAACTTCAAAGTAATCTACTTAGAAAGGAACAATCAATTGCAAACATACAAAATGGGAAACAATTGCTTAAGAAGTACTGAAGAAAGGGATCTGGGATCACAGTGTATCACAAGATTAAATATGAGTCAACAGTGTACCACTTGCCAAAAAAAAAGGCAAACATTATTCTGGAATTTACTAACAGGCACTATAGGCATGACCCAAGAAGTAATTAACATAGAATCATAGAACCACAGAGCTGGAAGAGACCTCAGAAGGTCATCAAGTCCAGCCCTCTGCCCTAGGCAGGACCAATCCCAACTAAATCAACCCGGCCAGGGCTTTGTCAAGCCGAGACTTAAAAATCTCTAGGGATGGAGACTCCACTACTTCCCTAGGTAACCCATTCCAGTGCTTCACCACCCTCCAGACTTAAACACCTCTAGGGATGGAGACTCCACTACTTCCCTAGGTAACCCATTCCAGTGCTTCACCACCCTCCTAGTGAAATAGTTTTTCCTAATATCCAACCTGGACCTCTCCCACTGCAACTTGAGACCATTGTTCCTTGTTCTGGCATCCATCACTACTGAGAACAACCTTTCTCCAGCCTCTTTGGAACCTCCCTTCAGGAAGTTGAGGGCTACTATCAAATCCCCCCTCGCTCTTCGCTTCTGCAGACTAAACAGACCCAACTCCCTCAGCCTCTCCTCGTAGGCCATATGCTCCAGCCCCCTAATCATTTTGGTTGCCCTCTGCTGGACCCTCTCCAATGCATCCACATCCTTTTTGTAGTGGGGGGCCCAGAACTGGACACAATGCTCCAGATGTGGCCTCACAAGAGCTGAATAAAGGGGAATAATCACATCTCTGGATCTGCTTGCAATGCTCCTCTTAATGCAACCTAATATGTCATTAGCCTTCTTGGCTACAAGGGCACACTGTTGACTCATATCCAGTTTCTCATCCACTGTAATCTCCAGGTCCTTTTCTGCAGAACTACTACTTAACTGGTTGGTCCCCAGCCTGTAACAATGCTTGGGATTCTTCCATCCCAAGTGCAGGACTGCACTTGTCCTTGTTGAACCTCATCAGATTTCTTGTGGCCCAATCCTCCAATTTGTCTAAGTCACTCTGGACCCTATCTACCTCTTCTCTTAGCTTAGTGTCATCTGCAAACTTGCTGAGGCTGCAGTCCATCCCCTCATCCAGGTCATTAATAAAGATATTGAATAAAACCGGTCCTAGAACCGAACCTTGGGGCACTCCGCTAGAAACTGATTTCCATCCTGACATCGAGCCATTGATCACTACCCGCTGGGCCTGATCTTCTAGCCAGCTTTCTATCCATCTGACCGTCCATTTATCCAATCCACATTCCCTTAACTTGCTGGCAAGAATATTGTGGGAGTCCATATCAAAAGCCTTGCTAAAGTCAAGGTATATCACATCCACTGACTTTCCCATGTCTACAGAGCCAGTTACCTCATCATAGAAGCTAATCAGATTGGTCAGGCACTTAGACTTGCCGTCGTGAATCCATGGTGACGACTCTACTCTGTGGAGTACTGTTTAGGCCTCAACTGGAGCATTATCTCCAGTTATGAGTGCCACATTTCAATAAAGATATGGACAAATTGGAGAAATTCCAGAGAAGAACAACAAAAATTATTCAAGGTCTGGAAAACATAACCTATGAGGCAAGATTGAAAACACTGGGGCTACGTCTACACTGCAGGCTTTTTGTGCAAGAATGGCTGTTCTTGCGCAAAAATTTGCAGAGCATCTATTGTGCACGCGTGTTCTTACACAAGTAAATTTACAGTAAAGCATCAGAAGAGAGGGCTTCTTGTGCAAGAGTTATTCCTCTCCCCACAAGGAATAAGCCCTCTTACGCAAGTGCTCTTGCGCAAGAAGGCAGGGTGGATGGGCACCAAGAGTTTCTTGCGCAAGAAACCCCTATGGCTAA